GAGTGTATGCTAATTTAATGGAAAAGTCTACTAATGTGTAAATTATACCTATGTTATGTTGTATTGGGTGGTGGGAGAGAAAATTTAAGTATCGGCCTGAATGTGTGGGTTTTTGATACCAATTCGTTAGAACTATGTTATTTTGTTGAATGATAATTTTTTAATCGAAGAAACTGATGCTGTTGTTGTTGCATGTCTTAACAGTAAATTGTAATTCTGGACAATGCTATTAAAATAATTTTATTATAGTTAATATATTTAGTAGGCACACGTATTAGAATATCATCCACATACCGCACAAACAGTGGAACATCAAAACATCACTTCTCTGAGCATGAAATTTCAAGCAAACGAATTACAAGATCACACAGTACTGGCCTACAGGGACTGTCTATTAGAGAGTCATAAACTTGTTTATAAAATTTGTTGTTGAAATGGAAAAAAGTGGAATCCAAAATTTAAGATACACCTGTGCAAAACTTATTGAGAGAAACATTGATTTTACCATTTAAGAATTTCCAAAAACGTCTTTTGAATTGCATTTATGATTATGGCTTAAGTAGTATTAGTAAATAAACTAACAACATCAAGACTAATAAGAGTGTAATCAGGTAAAATGATTATATCTTTAAATTTATTTTTAGCTCATAACTATTTTTTACGTTTGATTTCGCCAGTGGAATACTCTTATTAGAAAAATTAGAAAGAAATTTTGAAAAACAACAAGTAGGTGAATTCAGTGTCAAGACAATGATACGGATAGAAAAGTCTTTTTTGTGTATTTTTATTAGTCCATAGCATTTAGATAAGTGTTTTTTATGAATATCTCTATCAAACTTATTTAATTTATCAAAAATACCGTATTGATCCCACTTAATTACAAAACTTTTTTGTATCTTCAATGACTTGCTTTAAGCGATTATTGTCTAGCTGTAAATAATATCTATTATCACTTAATAATTTTTCTACTTCATTTATAAAAGTTTCTTTGTCAATGGCAACAATAATATAACCTTTATCTGCTTTAGTAATTAAAATATGTTCATTATTTTTAAGAAAGACTCGTGTTTGCTTTAAATTGTCTTGGAGAATTCCGTCATTTAAAGAAAAATAAGTAGGTACATTATGTCTATTGTTACCAATAATGTTAAATAGTTCTTTTCTGACAGTCTCAAATTCTCCGGAATATTTTGATGAATGTTCAACATTCTTAAAAAGTTGAAAATAATCACATTTATTAACATTAGAAACAAAATTAAATTTATCGCCCAACTCTAATATGCTTGAGACACAATCTAAATAAAGTAACTATTCCAAAAACATTTTTAATAGCTATTGTACAGAATTACAATTTACTGTTGAGACATGCAACAACAACAGCATTAGTTTCTTAGATTTGAAAATTATCATTCAACAAAATAACACAGTGCTAACTAATTGGTACCAAAAACCCACACATTCAGGCCGATACTTGAATTTTCTCTCCCACCACCCAATACAACATAAAAAAGTTATAATTTACACATTAGTAGACTTTTCTTTTAAATTAGCAGACACTCAATTTCACAACGATAATTTAAAATTAATCAACAAATTTTTACTAGCTAACAACTATCCTCAAAAATTTATGGATAAGTTTTTAAATAAAAAAATAAATATCTCAAAAAACACGGACATGATTGACAATTGTAATAGAAAAAATAATAACTATAAACTAATCTTATCATTACCGTATATTCTCTGCTAGCACGGTCCTATTAAATATTTTTGTAAGTAGCTTCACATTAGTCTTATATACAGTTTGAATAATAAATTGAATTCGATCTTTTCACTTGGAAAATGGCAGAACGTAAAAGAGACATGGACAAAAAAAAAGGATACAACTGTACTATCACAGCATAGCATTAAATTTACACACAACCTCAATTTTGATAAAGTTAAAATTTTAGACACAGAACAAAATTATAAAAAGCGCCTGTTTTTCGAAATGTTCAATATACATTATTTTAATATTAACATTAATAGACAACAAGATACAGAAAAATTAAAAAATTGCATTAAGTCTCTCGTTAAGTCAACTAAGATAGGAGGCTAACTTGCGATGTACATGATTTGAGGGCCCCTTTCATATATGGTATTAGAAAAACATGATCTGTTTACGTGTGTCTCACAAGGAACTGCTTACGATCCTTATTTGATTGTATTATGTGCGTATACTGTGTCATTCGTGTATGTGCAGGGTATAAAAGCAATGAAACTTGAAACTCTGACTACATTACGATTTTATATCTCCTTTTTAAGAGTTAGAGGTATATTATACACTTTACTTAATTTGCGTTTATTGTGTTTACCAAAATTTGTATTGTAAAGAATTTTTTTTATTACTCATAGATTTTTTTACCTCATAAGGGCCGGGACATTGTCCAAACGGCCGAAACGTCGTTTTGTTTTTCAATTAATACAAAATTTGACAGTACCCCCATTGGACGTTGTTTTAATTATTAACCAACTGTCATTGGACGTCTTATATTGATATTTATTTTTGTTGTAAGAGGCATTTTTTTAATGATCCGTCGATCTTCTTAAAAATTTAGTATTATCACTATAATGAACAATAAACAAGTTCTATAAATGTGTGTGTAAATACATGAACTTCTGTTCAAACATAGACACATCTAACAGCATAATAAATATTTATCAAATCACGTGACCTGCTTCCTAAGGTGACTTGAAATAAAAAGTTGGTATATTTCTACGGTGTGTATTATTGCATTACTTAGCATAATTTGAATGTATTAGTTTTAAGTCAGTAAGGTTTCATATAAATGTTGCGTGGTAGCTGTGTGGGGCTGTAGGGGTAAACAAAGATTGGTCAATCGGGAAGTAGGAGGCCTGGATAAAAAATAAGAGAGAAAAAAATTTAAAAGAACTCCCACTCTTTCTTAACAGCATTATTTTTTTGCTATACTGTTGCATGTATTGGTTTACTGACAATTTAAGCTGATTCACATCTGTTTCACCCAGGTCTCCATCAGACTTTTCCCCCTCATCTTTTTTCTAAGTTCTCGTATCTGCAGAAATAAAGCAGTTACTTAAACGTCTTCTGTGATGCGGAAGAAAATATATATTAGTTTGAAAAATTCTTTACTTTTCGTCTCTAGGTGAATCCTGTTACGTTTTTTTAGTACTTCGACTTATTATAGCAATAAAAAATAATTTTTTTTATGTGAGGGCCTCACTGTATATACTGCATATTTTCGGTATTAATGACTTCAGTGTTAGAAACTTTAGCGTATACTTACGGGCAGTTTAAATTAGTCTTAGTCCAAGAGATTGATTTTAAATTAAAAGTATGAAATATAACAAAAAATACATAATTAATTATTATGTTTGACATTTATAAGCTAATTATAAATCGTTTATTTATTTTCGTTGCATAATTTTAAATGTCTTTACAGGTGTTTTGCTATTACATTAACTTTACTGCACATAAAAGTTCTCAAACTATAACTAGATTGACATGTGATTGACGATATTATCTCCAACAAGCAACTTCAGTGATTCCTTAAATAAATCCAGATACATTATAATGCGGAATTGTACGTCACTATATTGTTATTTATAGATTGTTAAGTAAGTATTTAATTAATTGTTTGAAAAAAAAACGAATCTATTTTCATAAGTCAAAGGAGATAAGGACAATTCGTCGCTTAGGAGGAAGAAGGCTTCATTTTAGAGAAGCTTCAAGAAATATATCGTTTCCTATGTGCTATAAGAAAAGTCCCATTCCAGATATGCTGTGAGGAAGGTCTTATTATGGTTTTTCTCTAAGAAAGGTCTCATTTTAACCAACCGCTAATGAAAGATTTCTTTTAGCCATGCACTAGGGAAGGGCTTATTTCAGCCCAATACTTACAATACAACTTATTATGACACTGGCTTATGCTTAATTAATAAGAAGCTTTTTTTAAATGGATAGTAGAACATTACACAAAAAAAAATTTTGTATAAACCACTTGTCAGAATGCATTTAAAAAACGTATTCATTTGGTAAAAGTAATGACAATTAATCATAAATATGCTTCTGTATAATTTTTTTTAAGTTAAGTTGTACTATACCTGATTCAAAAAGCTTTTTTTACATAAGGCTCAAATCATTACCATAATAAATTATATTATGAGCATCGGGCCAGAATAGGCCCTCTCCTGGTATTCGTCCAAAATAGGCCCTTTCCTGGCTCTCGATTGAAATGGTCTGTTTTATAGCAGTTGACTAAACTAAGACGTTCTTTAAGATAAATCTATAATTCATATAAACTTTCTTAAGACCAAGTACAAAATGGGATCTTTCTTACGACAAATTCGAAATAAGACGTTTTTCAGAGCAAATCAGAAATAGTACCTTCTTTCTTTTAAACAATGGGCTTATGTTTTGAATAAGTTCAGAAGGATCAAAATGTCGAAATCTAAGTGTATCATTCTGTCATTGCTATCAGTATGTATTTTAAAATAAAATCTTAGTCGTATTCTTCTAAACTTGACATATACTATACGAATTTGTACTATTCAAACTAAACTAAAATAGATTTAAATGTGATCATTCAAGTAGATTTTCTTGTACTGTAATCTACAAGGTTTTTTAAATAAGCTTTAAAACCCAACATAACCATAATCTATCTTTATACGTCTTATTAAGTTCACATAGATTTTTAAGATAATTAAACTCTGCCAACAAATAAACGAAAACTGCTTTTCATCTGATGAGAATCTCATATAAAATCTACGTCCAAATCCATAATTTTAGCTATCAAAATGTATAAAATATATATCCAAATCCGTACAAACTAATGGAGAAAAATCCATGTAAAAACCAATGTGTATCCAAAAAAAGTGAGTTCAATAGTGCTTTTTGTTATATTTTATTATTCAAGATTTTAAAAGCAATTATAGATATAACTTCTTACAACAACTTGTGACTTATTGTATTATTAATAATTTACCTGTTACTGACGATGGTGTCATCACATTTCCCTTTTGAGAATTCTGTGAACTAGTAACATTATTAGACAACGTGGAGGTACTCTTATTTATTGCACTTGGACTGTGCATTCCATCTGGCCTAAATTCTGGCAATGAAGAAAATTTTTGTTGAAAATTGACTTGTTGAAGAACCCTAAAAGACATTTGTTCAAAATATTAGTTTCTAGAAGCGACTCAATAAGAAATGATAAAATACATTTTATTATGCTCATTTTAACGGTTTTAAAAACTTGATATGTGTACAAGGACTTAAGCTTATTTATTTTACAGAGACTAATGACCTGACACATATAAGAACTTGATTATTTTTACTAATACTAAGACACTATTAGCTAACCAGCCTGCGTACTATCATGCGAGGCAACCAATGAAAATTTATAGAATTTTGGCAAGTTTTATGCAATTAAAATCCATTTTGTTGTTACATCACAGAAACAATAAACAATATACGAGTCACGTTCTCTTCAGTACCTCGTACAACTAATACACCATAATTTCCTGAAATGATCCGCTTAAGTTTGTTTTCATAGACATTAATTTAATTTAAAAATGTTCACAATTATACATGAAAAATTTGACAGTGCAAATTTATTTATGCCATAATAAGTATAAAGATAGCATTGCATATTTTGTATTAACAAGTTTGGTTTTTAATGGTTAGTCACAAAAGTTCTTCAAACTTTCGTGTTAAGAAAAGTATTAAGAAATTATTAATAACATGTATAAATTATTAACACTATATCATGGGATCGTGCTTTGGAATTTGGCTCAACTTAAATAGAAATTTTAGACTTTTTTATAGTAAAGCAGACTGGGTCATTCTTTAGGTAATTGTATTGTGTAAATACATTGAAGGGCTGGTAAACATGCCATAGGCAAAAGATGAAGTTTTCAGCTTTTTCGTATAAACTAGTTGTCTTGTGTGTTTGTCTGTAGGTAAGATGTCTAAGTAAAGTGCTTCAAGGAGTCAAGTATGATTGACCCTCAATTTGTCTAATTAAGTATCGGTCCCATGTTTACTACGGCAAGCACTTACTTACCAATAAGCTAAACAAATTTTTATTCTTGGGAAAAATATCCAGACGTCACCTCAGGCAAAATACCTAAATATTTTTTTCAAAAGTTAAAAGGTCATGCGTATTTAAAGTAGGCACATCTATTCTGTTTCATTCATAGAATGTTTTACCTTAAACACTTTTGCTAGGGTATTTGTGTACCTAGAAATAATCTGAAGAAATGGCATTAATTTTTGTACTTATCCTCTATTTTACTTGGCATATTAGGATGCAGATAAAACTGTATCAAAATCAAACTTGTAACTTTGTTAGTTGTATGGCTCTATATTAAAGAATGCAGATATTAACGCATTGTTAAATATAGACATATTACTATTTCCATTAATTACACTGATACATTGTACGTACATCATTGTATAAAATTATAGAAGCATACATTACAAGTGCTTCATTGGAAGTAATCATTGAAAATAATTTAAGACTACACCTAATCTTAAATTAAATATTTCGCGACATGCTCTGTAATTATCTTAGAGGCAATATAAACAGAAAAATCGGATTATCAAAGATAACTTAACTTTTTCTCTCTACTGTATAGGATTTATATTTGCTTAATAATCCTTGCACCACTTTCGTTTTAAAAATATCTGAAGTACAAGACTGTGTGAAGAACAAGTAGCAAAACCTAACAGGAAGTTTGAAGTTAGGGAAAGAGACGCTTCATGTTTTTCTGAGTTTTGGTTTTAACAAGTGAGCAAGGAGACAAAGAAAATACAAGCATAAACTGTACGCAAATAGAAATGTGAATTAAATATGAAAGCGACTTCTTATCATTTAAAAAATAGTTTTCTCACCAAAACATAATTTTAAAATTTTATCCTCATAGAACTACTTGTTCTATTACGTGCATACCCTACTGCCAGGATCTGTATGATGCACTTTTGATTTTAATATGTAAGCAGTAGATAATTCACATCAATGCCAGGTTTACTTTTTGTTTGATATTATACAGCTTAAAAAATATAAGAAGTATGTTTTCTTAACATAAGTTTATCGAGAATTTTTTTATAGAATCCAACTTAACTACACATGGATTCTGCATCAATCAATTTTCCGCTTTCATTCGATAATTATAATAAGTAGATAAGTCTATTATATTATTAATACTACTTATAGTGCTTAAATAATCATCCATACAACAACAATATAATATATAGGCTTCGAAAGTATTAAGCATTAAAATAGTATCACTAAGGTTGTTCGGGGATTTTGTAAAAGTTCAAAAGAGTAAAGAAAATATCTGAATCAGTTTCTTTCTCTATTGCCATACCAACGATAGTGATAAATTTTTAATCAAAATTTCAAATATGTAACAAAAAAGAACTATTTGCCAATAATGTGATATTTTAAGGAAGATAAGCCATTAATTCACAAGAATAAGTATGGATTAGCCTAGAATTTTAGCTGGCTATCTACCTTGTTAATTAAACAATTTGTTAAGGATTCGAGAAAATTCTCGAAGGCTCTTGCCAACCCGGCGTTGTACAGTTGTCTGCTGACTACTGTGCGAGTGAGAGAGAGCGCGAGTATGCGTGTGAACGTGCGCGAGTATGTATGCGTGTGTGCATGCGACTATTCCGGCTCTTTGTGTAGCGCCGAGTTGCTAGTCCACGTCTGTCCGCTCAAGTAGTCGTACCACTTATAGTCGCACCGCTTATAGTTGAACCGCTTATAGTGAAACCGCCTTAAAGTTAATTTGATTTTGTAAAGTCCCCGTGCGATGGGACTCCGCATTAACTTTTCATTTCTTTGTTAAATTCATTATTAATGTGTTCCTCTTTTCTTTATTATAATATAGTTCTTTAATAGTTAAAAGTGTAGCGACTTGTTATTACGAGAAGTGCCTTCCATGTGCTGCGCACCTGCAGCTTCCATCTTCCTCTCTCCTTTCACTACAAGTCCGGCTACAATTAAAATGATACAGTCCACTTAATTGACACACAAGTCAATCCGCAACACAATTCAATTGTAAAGCGATGCCCAATACAATAAAATACTTCCTATTCACAAATTGTGAAGCATAACGTATTAAGAAAAAATAAAAAAACCTTTAAATTTTTTAATAAATAACACAAAAACAAAAATTTTGTTTCTATTGGATCCACTCTCATACATCAGACTAGAAAAACTTCGGCATAGTTAGATGTATAAAAACTTGAAAAAAAAAAATTGGTACTACGTATTATGTTTGTATATTTATAGTGTACAACATAAAAATTAATGGTAAAAGAAAATACAAGAGTATATGTGCATGCATAATAAATTACATGTGAATCTACATCTACGTTTAGAAGAAATTGGTAGCGAAAAAACTAGTATAGGAAGAGAAAAATTTTTTCCATACAGCGCTAAAAGACAGAAATTTTCTCCCACTTCGTGCGGAGAAAATTCATTCTATTGGCATTGGATTAGTAAAAAATTGTATACACGCAACAGGAGAAAACAAAGAAAGCCTTTGATCACATTACTGTAACCCTGTCAGCCTCTTTTTAGGTATCAAATGGTTGTGAATCAAGACATTTATGTTCTTCCCTCTGGGCTTAGAATGTATTATTTTATTTCAGGTTTTAAACTCTATTTGACAAGGTATCAGTCGGAAATTTAGTACATTTAACTAAAACAGACACAAATATTAGCTTTAAAAGAACACATGGTACTTATATGTTACATGAACCTATATTGTTAAGTCAGGAGAAAAATGATTCACTTTTGATAAATTGTTCAATAAGCAAGAATTATCAAAAAATAAGGTCACAAAGTGTAAGTCATGCACGTGCTTCACAGCGTGCAGGCCAGTTCTGGCTAGCTAAAGGCTCGAGCGTATACACATAACATGTAGTAGTGCGTGAACAATATACAATACTTAGATGTGTACAACCTCAGAGATAATATTCGTTTACTCCCTCTTTGATGGAGTAGTTAAATCATGTTTAATATAACTAGTTCTTAAATAACAAATTTTAAATTAGGCACTAATAAACTCAACTTACTAATAATATAAGCATTTTTATAGCAACTAATTTAATAGTTTAAATAATAATCTTGACTTGAAACTTAACCACACAACTTGCATATTAACTTTCTTTTCAATCAGCTTCAGTTATCTGAACGAACAGAACAAACAAATTTACATAATACATTAAATAACCAACTGGTTAAGTTAGTGTGTATATCTATAAATAAATTTCGAGTTGTAGACATTGGTGAATATATCAGCAAGTTGTAATTTAAATGTAACCCAAACAATATATTTCAACACTATTTAACGAAATGTTCCTAAATATTCGTCATGTGTCTAAGCTAATTACGATCACCAGTCTGAGTTTCAGATGTAGCAGCAATGTTATCACACATGAGTTACATACGCACAAATGTTCGGTTGAAAATAATCAAGTTGAGAAAAGCGATAATTTTCTGCTGAGCATCAAATATGGCTACAAACTTGGCCTAACAAGTAAGAAAAGCAACATTCGATTTTTTATGTGTGCACCAAGCAATTAGATTACCAAATAAACGTACTACATAACCACTCGTAGAAAAACTTTTGCAATCAGCAAAGCTGGCATCAGAACAAGCTTCAATTATATCACATCGATCTTCACAGTTTTTAAATAAATTTCAAGCATTTTTTTTAATACCAACATATATACATATACGGTAATTCATGTTTATGGAGCCCGACATATATTTGTATTTTAGTGCATACATACAATTAGTCCTACTCTTTACGTTATAATCTACTAAAATTTTTAAGATATATGCTTTAATAAAAAAATTGTCTAAGAAACTGTAAAAATCACATATTCAGTATATTATGGAGCCCATTTTTTTTATTAATTGGAGCTTATGAAGCCCACTCGTATTAACTGTAGGTTATTTTTACAAAGCTCTATGATGAGTGTCATAGTGTTAAGGTATACTTATAAACCAATAAAATATGTTACATGCTTTAAATAAACGTGTATTAAGAGAAAAAGAGGGAAACCGTTAAATATGCATACATTTACGTCTAACATCTTGTAAAAAATTTTTAAAGTTCTTACTGAGAAAGAA